GGCCCCTCTGCCTGCTCTCAGGCCCCTCTGAACGCTCTCAGGCCCCTCTGCCTGCTCTCAGGCCCCTCTGAACGCTCTCAGGCCCCTCTGCCTGCTCTCAGGCTCGTATAAGAGAGGAAACTCTAGCCTGTATCACTGATATACTGGCTCATCATCACACTATAGTTCTCCTTCATATCTTTCAATCAAACGTGAGATGACAGACACAAGCTGTCACAACACATTCCGCAGCTGGATGGATGGAGGAAGCTCGCCCTGCCTTGCCCCACCACACCAGCGGCAATGAGAATTCTAGACTATTTATCAGGGTGATGAAAAGGCTGCCTGGTTTATGTAAGTCATATATTGGTGTTGTGGTGGCATTGACAATGTTTCCCGGAAAATATCGTGTTCAGCAAGACCTTGAGATGATGGAAGAAATGATAAGTATGCTAGAGGTCAGTCCATCTGGCTGCAAAGACGGAGCTCAAAGTAAGTAAAGCGAAGCCTAGGCATGACATATCTTAGATTTAAGTGTTCTGCATCAGTAGGGAAAAGTAAAATACTTATTCTGTATGTTTTGGTGATAACCTTGGGGGGTTGGGGATGGTTATGTAACAAACTCATTAAAATTGTATATATTACAAAAGGTTTATTCAAATACTAGATAGAGAACAATGACTATAGCTTGGTAGTTATGACCTGGAATTGTAGTACAAAATTACTTAATATGCTCTTTGTAAGTGTTTATAATGTGGATGCGATACAAACAGGAATTGTTATAGCTGTGGGCATGGCTGGCTTAGCTCTCTCCAGAGTTGGGTAAATCAGGTCCAGAGAGTAAAAGTCCAGACTGGGATTTTGTTTCAACCAACCAGATAAGCAACCAGATGGTTGGTTGAAACAAAATCCCGGTCTGGACTTTCTCTACTCTGAATTTCAGCAGGGACTGAATGTGAACATCATTACATTTTACATTCATGCATTTAGAAGATGCTTTTCTCCAAAGTGACATATAATTGATGTAAATAGCACGTTGCAAACATGTGCTGCTGAGGAGTCAACTAAGCATGAGTGCAGCTAGGCTGAACTTCCAATCAATCCCCAGGAACCAGGGTAAGCAGTACTGGAGCAGGAGCTACACAATAACAATTACACAACAACTTCTAACAAAGCAAGGACCTAATAACAGTATTCAAGGACCGGAAGTGCAGTAGAGAGGCATCAGGCTAATGCTACGTTCACACCGCGAGCGTCAAAGACGCCAGCCGTCGCTCCCGCCGCCCTGAACGCGACGCTAGCCAGCGCCGGAGACGCTCTCTGATGTCATAGAGTGGACGGGGACAAGGCCACTCAGAATGCCAGGCTCTGAGAACTTTTTAAAGGGGGCGGCAAAACAAACAAACGTGTAGCTTATATCTTTGCGCCGACTCCTGATAGGACATAATTTGCCAAATAAATATTGTTGTGAGCCAGTTATTTGCATTCCCGCTTAAAATCAAGCATTCTGGAGGGAAAATTTTACATATAAATAGTGTAGCGCTTCTTTTCAAATTTACCTTGGATCACAATGGATGATCGCCAAGTAGTTGCTTGTGCTTTATGTTTCTTTAGTTAACATAAATAGTACTAAAAATGTATCACGATAGTTCTACTAAAACACATAATTATGTTTTGACGAACACTAATGCTATAAATAGGTTTAACATTACCGACAATTTGCACTGTTTTCTCTGCTATGGCGCCTAAATTACTACTGATCAAAAAAATATATTATGCACTTCACCATCTCACCTGGAACACCCATTGTTTCGGACACTCTGGTCCATGCCTCTTTTTTTTTTATTTATGTCCCTGTATGCAAACAGAGACACATCATATATAACTGCATACCCGGCCACAGCAATAATAAGTCTCTCCTCCATTGTGCCTAGGAACGGTTGGGTCGGAACAAAACTTTACACGCTTATGTTCTGCGGCGCTCTCTTTAGCGGAGCATCTCTACAATCCCATTGGTTGCCGCCCAACCGCGTCACAGCTCATTACCATAAAGTTGACTGGGATTCAACTTCTGTCTGACGCTCCCGCCGCCCAGATCACGACGCGCCGCTCCTCGACGCCTCCCGACGCTCCCTCCCACAGAGAATGAATGACTTCCGGTCGCTTTGACGCTCTCGCCGCTCGCAGTGTGAACGTAGCATAAGAGAGAAATTCATGGAACAGATTGAGGCACTTCTTGACGGTGGAGAGGGAAGCTGTATCTTGCTGATGTAGACACCACAGTGCATTGTGGGTGACCAGGCTTACCCAGTCTCCCAGTCCAGGCCGCATGCGTCCTGATTATGCGTCATTAAGGCCCAAGCTCTGCCAGCCAGCACCCAACCCATTGTACTTAAAACCACGTAATTACATGTTAGGGTGACCATATTTTCCTTGCAGTAAAGAGGACACCGTGGGCTGGACACAAAGAGAGGCGTCAAAGCAACGCAAATATGCAGACATGAGGTATCCTGACTGTGCACAGCAACTGTCAACACGAAGAAAAGCAGAATCCCGGACATTTCAGGTATTTTTAGGTCCCAAAAAAGAGGAGAAGTCCGGGAAAAAGAGGGCGCATGGTCACCCTATGACATGTATCCAGTGTTTGGTCAGCTTGACGTTCCTCCATCCCTCCCTCCAGAAGAGTGGGGTCAAAAAGGGCAGCGGGGCTTGTCAGTCTCCATGTCTCTTAGAGATTCCAAACTTGTCCACCCATATTACTCTGACGCCCCGACGGGTGGAGATGTCCACCTCCCTCCTCATCCTCTTCCTCACACCTGACCTACACAATGTTCAGGCTGAAGTGACCCCATTACCCAGCCCCAGATGCAGGCAGTGTGCTGTTGTCAAGGTATAATGAGGATGGCGGACATGATTTTGAAAGAGTGTTGGGGGGGGGGGGCAGCTCCAGGGAAGGGTAGGGAAGGTCTGGCCCACCTACTCACAAGTTTGGACCACTGGGGCAACCAATCACCAGATTGTTATCTTGGTTTTTTGAATATTGTAAATCGGATGTCCCCAAACACCCAAACACCTCCCATCTCCTCCCTCCGGAGAACCTAGTGGCTGACCGTACATCTACATCTACATCCTAGGAGAGTCCGGTCCGCTTCACACACATGTGTGTGGGTTTATTTTGCTGTCATTCACATTTTCCCACAGGGCTGCCTTCCCATCCAGGGTACACCCTCCCTGCGCTGCCAGGGACGGAGCTCCACCACTCCCCCGCGACCCAGACTAGGATAGACGTGGAGGGACAGAGATTTTAGCACATTGCAGAGTTGTCATCGGCCAGATGTATCGCTCATAGGCACCGAGTCCTCCCTAATGGTGAACGAGGCGTCCAGATCCATCCTCCATTAGCTGCCGTCGGCGATGGACGTCCATGAGGGCAACACCGTGGCCTCTGGGGGGGTCAAATGAAAGCCGTGGCTCAAGGTAGCGTGAGTCCGAATGTCAGCTGCAACCCAGTCATTTTTGCTGAGCGCTTCATTCATCGGTGGCTAGCAGGGGCCCTGCAAGATAATCTCTGTCACCCCAATGTCATGTGGTATTTCTGGACCCTTC